CTCGTGGATACGAACCCCAAGTCTGATGACAGATAACGAGAAGTCGGTAATCTACGTGTACTATAAGCAGACAAATATGTACAAAACCAAACACCACACCTCAAATTGTGGGCCAATCCGGTCTCCATGGTACAAGAACGAAATACAATGCAGGTCAAAGCGCGGAACAAAGCACCTGCGGAGCGGTCACCAAAAGGAATGCAAACTCGGCTTAGAAAAAGTACGATTTAAGGGATAGAAACACCAATCGCAAGTGCTCGATAAAGAAGTGCAGTCATTGGTCAATGCAAGACACACAAACGGTTCACGGGATCCTATGGAACAAAGCAGTCCGCTAAGCAAGTGAAGCGAATGATCAAATATGAAGGTCAACATAAAGAGGATGGGATGACAATGTACTAGAACAAAAACGAGGGTGGGGAAACGGATCCGGGGTAGTTCGTATGTAATGACTCCCGGGAGTGGCAAGCGTGGGACAGAGAGTTCAAGGGCGATAAGGGTAGAGGACGCACAAATGAGTGGGACCAGAAACAACAACAACAAAGTGCAAAGTAAGCCGTCGGACCAAATCGGGGCATGATGATGGGTAAATGTCAAAGGTCATCTGTGTAATGGGTTACATGAGTGCACAGTTAATCGAACCGAACCGGAGCAAAATCTGTGGCGTGGTTAATTTTTCCAATCAAGTCGATACACTAAGTAAAATAATAATTTATACATAATTCGTATCTTATATCATAGTGTGGTACCTGTTAAATCAGTTAATTATTGCTATTGCTGCAATAAGAAGAAAATGCTTGTACAGAGTTCACAACAGAAAAATGGTTCACTTCCAATACTTTGCACATTCCCACGAATTACGACCTCATTGGCGATCGTCGTCGGTAACTTCTTTTCGTCCTCAATAATACGATGCTCACTTCACTGAATTGTTAGACTGTCCTATAGTCTATGCACAGGTGCAAACCAAAAGATGATTGTGATCAGTAGTTTAACTTTGAACACACCAATATACTCACCATTCTTTGCCTTTTACTACTTGCTGTGATATTACTTGCGATAGCCAGACCGAATGTCATGCATTTTTAACGAAGTCAAGATTACAAACTGGGTGGAGCAGGGTAGCTTTTTTGGTACCGCGCGATTACAGGGCCTGTCATCCTAAAGGAACGTAACACCAGACAGCAGTATGGAAAATTTGTAGTACATCATATTACACTTGCTTACGCAAATAGTTCGAATGCACTCATCGGCACAGACGGATTTGCTCCGTCAGTGTGAATTAAGGTGTGTCCGCTACCAGGCAGAGTAACTTAATTAGGAACCAACAATTTACAGTTCGCAAAATTCTTTTTGCCCATACACCTACTTGCCCTTTGCTTTAGATGAACACCGTGTAATACAAAATACTTTCGCATTTAGCGTACCGTTGCTAGGATGTAGCTGTGCGCTATAAGTCATAGCCATTTGACTGACTATCCGTCAGAATTCACTTTCACGCATGACTCTCAATTCAGTGGATCAATTATACACTCGGGACAACGAGATTAGAGCTTCATTCTTGTAATAGATGATCCAAGGTGCAAATCTGTGAGCTTGCGAGAGACAGAACCTTAAATGGAATGTACGTAGCATCAGTGAGTCAATCAACTCACAATAACAGTGACCCAAATCATCGCTGGTCAGCTCAGTGTTTATTCACATGCATCTTGTATGCGAGGGGCTCGGAGTTCAAATCCCGGATAGAGCGGTAAGTACATATTACTTATGAGTGGAACTCGCATTTATGGTTGAACGTGTAAGTTCACAATAAAGAGGAAGTCTCACGAATGGTAAGTTAAAGGCACAAACTATATTGATTTCTGCAAGCATTTTCTATTATATCTGAAACAAAGGTCTAATTATGACATTATGGAAGGTCTGATCACCTTTTCACCTTACAAACCTTCAGGGAGAAGAAAATAAAAGTGTGCACCAGTTGACAAAATCAATTGTCTTACCAGTCCCTAATTAGATTCCTGTTGACCAAGAGTTGGACGGCTTCAGAATTGTTGACGCTCGTCGACTCAATTCAAAGTTACCCCAACAAACCCAAACATCTGGAAGAAAGTGCTGTTAATTAGAAATTCTAATGAAAGAACAAGGTGTGATGATAAAGAATATTAGGAGAGTGTGAATATTACTAGTCTTTTTGATTTCTCTTGCTGTACATTACACTCAACAAATAAATAAAAACATAGGCACGCACTGCGCATTCAGTTGGCTTTAAGAATAGTCCGTCGGAAGCACGATAAACGACGAATAAGTAAAGAGCGGTTATTCCAAGGTTATTGGATGGACGGATATAGATCAATTGAGCGAAGGACTCCGTCCTTCATCCCACTTGAGACGAATCGTAGGCCATTTGGTCTGCAGACATCGTTGAATGGGGCTACGTTCAATTTCCTCCAAAGCGACTGAGTCCTCTGTAGGATCTAGTATATGAGCTTCACCGGTCTGATAGCGAACCTGTTAGGTGTTGCAAAAATATAAGGTTAATGGCATATAAAGTGTTTATGCGACTTTTTCACTTTTATTTGAAATCTGTCATCAAAAATTGAGCATAAGCGAGTCCTTAATCATCAGAAATTCAGATCACTAACAAAATAAGCAATAATAAGGCAAAGCCACTTAGTTGACGAGCAGCATAAAACTCTAAACAACTTTCGAGGCTCCAGAGGAAACAATAGACTGAAAGGATTCATGCGCCTTTTCGTGGGATGGCAGAGAAGAACGATCTGGTGCACGGCTAATAGTACTCCTTAGGCGTATACTTCCCTGACCTGAGAGCCATATGCCAACTACGTGTTCAATGAGACCCGAAACAGGAAAAGGAATCCAATGCATTGTTCGCCAAAAGTATGCAAATTTCGAATCGGTGAACCGGAAATGCATCAGGAAAAGCATATGTGAGTGCGTGAGAGTTAAACGTGACAAAGTAGCACAACTATGTACGCAGCGACCACACGCCCACGGGGCTGAACAATCATTAATGTATGCAATGCGCATGTGGTTGTAGGGCACACATGATTTTCTGTGTGAGCGCGGTAGAAATGCAAGTGCAAACTGCAGTCCTTGCAAGCAGTGGACGGTGCAAATGGCCAGAATACATTCAGCGCAGTTCATTAGAACTGCATAGGAAAAAAACTAGCACAGGTAGTACCAAGAACAGATAGCGATGAAGGAACAGTTCACATCAACGATCGAAGTGAACCAATACGGGGGCAGAAACGTTGAACCATTTTTTGCACTAGAGATCAAATAAACGCGACACATTTTTTATCAACTTTTAGACAAGAGTACGAAAAAATAGAGAGTATGTATAAGTAACCTATAATCACTTACATTGGACGGCTAACATTTGTACTTCATTTCCAGCTTTTAACTTTATTATTACTCAAGACGTTGCAACGAAGAAAATAAAATGTTTTGAGTTTTCGGATTCCTCTTGAACTGAGGGCTGCATGCTGTCTCTGGTGATGTTTAACTATGATATTCATTGGCGATGAACTGTGCCTTCGTTGATTACCATAAGGTAACCTGGAACAAAGTGACTGCCCCTGAATGCAGAATCTAGGAGTTATGTAGTTCCTGAAGAACGGTTGAAAGAGTCCTTGTTCCTCATAGGGTACTAAGCAAACCGTACTTGATAACACATGAAACCAAGAGGGTCATTTTCAATCAAGCTGGGAAGTACAAAAGGAATGCAGTTCGGTAGCTTGCATTCGACATTACCGGTCAACTAGCAATGACTCACCTGGCCGTCGGAATTGGATTTTTCCAAGCCGTTATAGTGAATGACACGAAAATCGCGGACGGTTGTGCGACGCTTGGCCATTTCATGAGGGAAAAAGTGCTGCAGAAACGAGGATTCTAGAATCACACCAAGATCTTCCGGATCGAGAGTTTTCTTTAAATCCCCAAGGCTGTCGGAGACGGAGCGTAGAACAGTGGGAGCAGATGAACAAAACCGTATAGATCATCAGGTAATAGGTCGTATAAAAACGAGAGAAAGATGAGAATGCTGTCTTCATCGGTTTCTCAAATAACGACTGTGGACGTTTCAGGTAGCAGTAAAATAACCAATTCTCCTATGGCATAGAATGCATTTTACGGTCAATGCAGGATAAAATGAGGATCACTTTTATACAGGTGGAGTAAAAGAACAAGAACCAAGGTCAGACCGCACCACCTTTACAATTCACGTAAGTAGATTCCTTATTAGACAAATTATTCTTCCTTCTCGTTAAACACATTCTGTGTGACGAACATCAGACGGAGTGGATCTATGATCAACAAAGGCTGCTGTTCAGTGATGGAAACCCAGTAAGTTGGACTGTCAAGACACATAAAGCCCCGCTCAGTTAGACTAGATGTGAAATTGAGCCAGACGACAGCAAAGCAGCATGGTAAAATGGAGACAAATTGACGTTTTGTTATTGTTTTAAAGTGTACTTCTTCTTGTTGTATTCTGTCTTGTGTTTGTTTGTTTGAGGTACACATCAGGGACATTTATATTCAAATTTTACAACATCCATGCCTGTGATTGTCAAGCCGAAGCCCAATCCAAGCTTACGGCACTTTTTACCTGAGTTCACTATAGAAAGTGATGTTCGACAGGGTTGCCCTCTCTCTTTGTTTCTATTTAACTTTGTGATACATTGAATTTTTGAAACAGCCCTATCCCCTCGCGAGGACAGTGGTATCGATTTGCTCCCAGGTGGCAAACTATCTGATCTAGAGTACACAGACGACATTGTACCACTAACTGAAGATCCAAGTAAGTTGCAAGATATTCTGGATAGTTCGAGTGCCAGTGAAGCCATGTTCGGTATGCGTTTTGCACATTTAAAGTGTAAAATGTTGCCACAAGATTGGGTTGGTTCAGCCCCCAACCTCGCATTGACTGAGGAAGCAGATAAATTTTGTTATCTGGGCAGCTAAGTTTCACCCGGTGAACGCCCTACAGATGAAGTGTCAGTACGCACACAAAAGGCTCAGTTGGCATTTGCCAACTTGAGACGTCTGTGGCGCCGTCGCGATATACAGTTGTCTGCGAAGGGTCGAGTGTATGCTGAGGCAGTTCGGCCAGTTCTGCTATATGGTGCAGAAAGTTGGCCATTAAGAAAACAGGATAAAGATAGACTGTCGGTGTTTGAACATCGCTGTTCACGCAGCATTGCACGAATCTGGTGGGGTAACTAGACGAGCCATGCCAAGATTAGGCGTAGAGTTTTGGGTAACTGCAGTCGGCCGCTGGAGCAAATGGTCGACCGCGATAGACTACGTTGGTTAGGGCATGTGTTACGTATGTCGCGAAACAGGCTGCCACGGCACGCGATGTTTGCCAAGGTAGATAGTTGGTGGAAAANGAGCCATGCCAAGATTAGGCGTAGAGTTTTAGGCAATCGCGGTCGTACACTGGAGCAGACGGTTGACCTCCATAGATTACACATATCACCAGATAGCTTGCCACGATGAGCGATGTTTGCCGAGGCAGGTAGCGGCTAGTAAAAGGTCGAGGGTGGTCAAATGTAGACCTGCTTTGAGGGTACGAAAACCCTAACCAGGAGACTGGGTCACAGGTCCCGTTATGCTCTCTGGCTGGGGACCCCGAGATCATGGTCACCCATGGTTAAGACACTGAGCGATATGGCTGGGTGTCGCAAACAGTGGTGCTCATGTATCTACTCATTATTCTTGTGAAACCAGTCTATATGAATTCTCTATCTTTCGCTTGAAACATTCTAATCTTCATTCTGTTCTTTTATCCAAATGGGCGACTACAAGAAAGCAGCCAAAACCGGCGCACGAAAATGCATGGTTAATCGCTGTACAAACTGGAACTGTGATTGTCAGCTATATCCCTAAGTGTTCCTAACCAACGACATTCCTTCTTCATCGGACTCCAGACAAGCAGTTGGGAAGGATTGTTATAGATCAGCCACCACTACGTTCCTCGCAGGTGCCAAGTCATGTACTGATTGCTGTGGGGTTTGTTCAAGCTTTGTCCGGAAATTATAAAAAAGCGAATAGTACGAAAGGCAGTCTGTAGGCACTTGTAGTATGCTCATTTTGGCCGAGTTTGACAGTTTGTTGTCAAACGTCTCATCACAAGCCGACGTGACATCTTTGAAGCACAGCTCGTGTCTCGTGGGAACATCGTTGAGCAATGAAGAAATTCGTTGTCGATAGTCGTTCTCTAACGAAATTAATCACCTCACATCTCCGATGGTTTAGTCACGCTTTGTGTATGCCTGTCCATCGAAGACCATTCCGTGCTGGAGAGGCTGGAAGAAGCACTGTGGAAGTCAGACAGTGACCTGACGTAGAGGTATGAAGAGATTAGCTTCAGCTTTGGCGTCGGTTGGTGCAGCTAGCCTTCCAGGCTGAGGCCTAAGGGATATGATTTGCCGATGGCAAGAGACGCTGAGAGATAGGGCTCGATTTTGTGCGGTTTGCTTTTTGAAACCCTGTTCCCCACAATAGACAAAAAACTTGAATGCATATATATATATGTGAAGTGGCAGCATTCTGATTGTACCCACTCGCAAATGTATGTTCTTCTCCACGGATTTTATTGGTCCCTTGATCTAACTGTGTTCGACCTGGCTCGCCATTGAAATGATGCGATGGGTGGTTCAAAGTTTGGATTGCGATTTTTGGTCCGTTCTCAAGTCACGGGATGACGCCCACCCTATCCCTTCGTAACAGTTTAACGGCGAATCAAGTCAGAAACAATGAGATCAAAGGACGAAAATAGTCGGTGAAGAACATACACAAGCGGACGGGTACAAGCAGAACACTCACTTTACAAGTACTGAAAATGTCACCTCGGATGGTGATGAGATGTTTGTAAACAAACTGTCAAGCTCGGTGAACAGGAAAAAATAAATTCGGATCACCCGAGCTACGAGAACCGATTTTAAATATTTTGGCAACCATCTAGTAGTACCAATCCAAGACCCTGGAGACGGTGCAGTACAGTTACCTGGGTGAAAGGACGAGTACGTCTATTCAATAGATGTTAAATCGCACGATTGTTCTACTGATGCTATTACCAAGCGCGGGCAATGCGTCGGAGACACCGATAATCAAATAAACAAATAAAACCGTCAAGCATTATGGACATGAGGGGGCCAGAGCCCGAAACAATACAGCAAGACACTTCGAAGTGTATCATTAAACAGTTGTGTCTGGAGATAGGAAAATGTCAGCGTGAATACTGCGAACCAAGTGAAGAATCTGAGAGGAAAAAACTGTCGACAGTTGTTTTGCCAATGCACTACGAGCGGAATACTTGGACAAAAATGTTCATTTGAACAAAAATCCTTTGTAAAATGTGAGATAGCGGTCAGGCATTCTATGGAACAGTAATGTGCAACATAAGTAGTTATTAGTTCGGGTTTGGTACCATATAGTCACGTCCGATTGCTAGTTTCGCTATGTGAATATCATGTGATCCTTAGAATACCAGCGACGCGCTGCGAAGAAACAAGCGCAGGTTAAGGATCGAACAGTATTTAGTCCGAATGTTAACAGACACTAAGATAAATTTTATTGCGATATAATGATGCTTCCGACAAACTTTTATGTGGATAAAGCTTTTCTTGACTTGAAACTGAAGTAAAAGGTTTGACCACTTGTGGGATAGAAAAAAATCGAATACAGCGCCTTCTAGACGTTCGTATGCACATGGCTCCTTAAATCAATACAGTTACCATTTATCCGTTATCGATACGGGAGGAAGAATATATCAACCGTGGTGCCGCTATCAATAAGAGGTTGATTACTATTGCTATTATTCGTATTTCTGGTAATACAATTAGTTTTATTATTGATATAACCACACGGATCGTATCGATACAGGATACACAAATAACCATCCTCCAGTAATGTCTCTCCTCAAGATAGCGATTCAGCAGGCAGTGGGACGGAGCGTAGCTGGAAACGTGTAGGAATTCATTTAATGCATCAAAGGCATGCTCATTCGTAGGAAAGACAGAATGCAAAGAAAAGGCATACGCGCGATGATTAGCTGACTGGATCTTTATTAACCGTCTTCATGAGCTGCGGATTCTTATGTTGGGTTATCCCTAATGTGACTGACGGTTCCGGAACACAACAGTTTTCAGGGAGTACACTGAATCCTTCAAAATTATTGCATTTATATTTCTAATTTTGCCCATTATCAGTCAGTATACAGTACAGGTAGTATCCATAGAAAAATAAGTAAAAAGCAGTGAACGGCGTTCCTTTGAACAGGCTGTTTTGCAAAGATGCAAACCGCGGTAGGCCAAAACGGAGGCTGGCGGTAAGCGAAGGAAAAAAGTCAAGTACTGGGACTAGGTCAATAAACCTGATGTGTTCCGGTAGAATAAATAACGCGAAACACAAGCGCAGGGAAGTAACTTTTCCGAACTGCGTGCTTAGGTGCAACACAAATAGGGATTTAAACAAGGTACGTCGTCGATTCATGTGACTTACGAGTGCGTGGTGAATGAGATATGTAGACGTTTGAGCAATTCCTCCAATTGTGATTCTCGAATAAACCCGGTTTCTGCATCCTGATCTGTGCTGAGTCGGGTGAATTCAATCTCAGCCTGATGCAGAGTAGCACCTTTTGATTCAGTATCGGTCTCTTCGCAGACGAGAAAGGGATCTGGGGAAGCCAGTACAGTGAAATGAGTCTCCGAACCAAGAATCCAAATAGGGAATGATGGGTTTTTTAAGTACCACCCTGATTCGCAATAATGCAAAGCTTCGAAGAGTGTTAGAAAACCGGTGCGTGGTTGCTTCAGGATTCCGGTCAAAGCTAAAAGAAAAGGAAATAACAGAAGACATCAAAATAAACTGCAAAAAGTGGATGACGTAGTCGGAAAACCTATGGGAGTGGAAATGAGAGGAAAATATGAATTAATTTGAATATCCAGCAATTAAATATGATTCCACTATTCGTTAGGTGATTTCCAAAATTATTCAAGCAAGAATAACATCAATGAAATATCAATTGATCGTACCATTGTGCATACAAAAAAAGGTTGAAGAAAAATTGATTAACTAAGTTTTTCCAAGTACGAAGGTTGCATTCCAGTCGGGCAAGTGTAAAACTCAAACATATGAAGATAGTGAGTATACAACCAACCTAGAGGATTCGGTTAATTGGTAATACGATACCGCGAACGGCGCATTGAGATTCTTAAAGCGACTTTCCAGTTTCGGATTGTGCAACCACTAACCATGCACTTTTGTGTGCCGGTTTTGGTTTTTGTATTTCGGGTGTTAATTTGGATGAACAGCAGAAGAAAGACAGAAAAGTTGCAAGTTGAGTCGCAGAGAAAGTGAAGTTCAGTAGATTAACGTTGAGGAGAAAATGAGATGCACAAACGCCACTGCATAGGACACTGCCATTGAATACAGTGATCTTGAGGTCCCCGTCCAGATAGCTTAACGCGGCTTATGTGGCCGAGCCTTCTGGTTAGTGTTTTGATACCCTCGTTCCAGGCCTTATTTTGACCACCTTTGGCTTTTTTCCACCAACTATCTACCTTGGCAAACATCGCGTGCCGTGGCAGCCTGTTTCGCGACATACGTAACACATGCCCTAACCAACGTAGTCTATCGCGGTCGACCATTTGCTCCAGCGGCCGACTGCAGTTACCCAAAACTCTGCGTCTAATCTCAGCATTGGTCGTCTGGCTGCCCCACCAGATTCGTGCAATGCTGCGTGAACAGCGATGTTCAAACACCGACAGTCTATCTTTATCCTGTTTTCTTAATGGCCAACTTTCTGCACCATATAGCAGAACTGGCCTAACTGCCTCAGCATACACTCGACCCTTCGCAGACAACTGTATATCGCGACGGCGCCACAGACGTCTCAAGTTGGCAAATGCCAACTGAGTCGTTCGTATGCGAGCTAACACTTCATCCGTGATTCGTCCACCCGGTGAGATATAGCTGCCCAAATGACAAAACCTGTCCACTTGGTCGATTATGTCCGCAGTTAGAGTGATGCTAGGTACTGGACCAACCAAATATTGTAGCAATAATTTACACTTTAAATGTGCAAAACGGAAACCGAAAATGGCTACACTGGCACTCAAACGACCCAGAAAAGCTTACAAATTACCCGGACCTGCAGTCAACAGTATAATATCGTTTGCATACTCCTGACAGACAGTCTACCACACATAGGCAAACCTATGCCACTATCTTTGAACGAGGATAGGTCTGTTACAAGAATTCAATTAATGATTACATTAAATGAAAGTGTTGAACAGAAGCAGAGAGAGAGAGAGAGGGTAACCCCAACACCGCTTTCGGTTATGAACTCAGGCGAAAAAGTGCATAGGCTTGGACTCGGCTGTTAGTATAAAGGGATCGTAATGTTGAAATAAACTTCTCGGGTGCAACCTTCAGGGAAAGGCAGTGCCAGAGTTTAGTACGGTTGATTGAGTCGAAAGACGCTTTCAGATCCAGGAAGACAGAGATGGTGGGTCTACGAAAAGAATGTCAGTGCTCCAAAATTTGAAAAAGGGTGAAAATATGGTCTATACAATCTCGATCCGGTTCTGAAACCGGCCTGATTTTCACGCACGCACTCTTCTAATGCGGTAGACAATCGACGAAGTATGACGCCAGAGAGGAGTTTAGAGGCAACGTTGATTAAACTAATTCCCCTGTGGTTTTCACAAGAGGACCTGAAGGAAGGGTTCTGCGGGCGTTCAGCAGAAAAGCCGATGTCTAAGAGATCCATAGTTTGTGTTTTGAGCTTGCGTTAGGGTCTGACATTGTTTCCATCGATATTTGCATCGCTCCCTTGATTTGCTTCTCGTGTTCATTGGGTCCTTCGGCTGGTGGTCGAGCTGATAAGCGATCGGAGAGCTCCGCTTCAATGGCCGACTGGCAATCTTTGCTGACGTTATATCCTGGGTATCCGCTACCAGTGGCTTTATTGCGGTTGTTTGCCAGGTGTAAGGAGAAGTTACCTTGTATCAAAGCGTGGCCCGTATCCACAGGTGTTGACCAGTGAGACGGGTAGTCTTTAATGGATCCAATCCAGCGGTAACTGATTGCGAGGTGGTCGATTCGGTTTCATCGATGAGAAGAAGTTGGCGGTTATAAAGTAAGGCAGTGTCGTATCTTGTGTGAGAAGTTGGTGTTTGACAGAAACAATCCGTGGCCCGCGGAGAACTGAAGTAGGCAATATCCATTGCCTGTCTGGTTGGTAGGGATTGCATGTGGACCACCAAGAAACCTTCTGATTGATCCGAGAATCCCATTGGAGCATTGAATTATTCGGCGACCACTACGACATACGTTGATTGAACACTGGAGTGATTGAGAAAGATCCTTGCAGAATTCATCCTTGGTTTCAGATGTACTGCAATCGGTCGAGACATACGCCGGTACGACGAATAAGCATCGACGCTTCATTCTGTAGCTGTTGACTCGTAATGAACCGTTGAGACATACAGCGCACAGTCGGTTACTGACTGGAATTCAGTCAAGAAGCCAGCGCTCAGCCTTGGTACTTAGCGCAATCCCAACAGCAGCAACACCGCGAGCGTCGGATGCCGAATCACCTGACACACGGTGAGCGAAGCGTGAGGATGAGTCGGCAGAAAGCGAGATGATTGAAGTAGGGTCTTGTATGCGTGTTTCAATGGTTCTATCTGAGGCAGCTTGTTGAACAATCTGGTAGAGTTTGCGGACAATAAGTGCGGCTAAGTGAAAAGGCAATTTTAGCTCCAAAAATCCTAAAACTCTTGATTGTTTGGTCTTACTGGTAAAACGGTGAGTGATATCTGATGGGTGGCATAAACCGGAGGTATCTGGGATTACTTGGGATTGCGAGGAAGAACTAGATACGTGGAAAAGAGGTTTTTCCAAACGAATGATCAAGACTTTAGGGCACGAAATACTGCGGGGTAGTTCACACCGACGAAGGGTTTTTTGGGGGGAACGCTAACGCTTTTGACTCGAAGGTCTGACCCGCAAGCCAGTGGGGCGTAGATCCAGCGCGCGTAGCTTTTATGGTTTTACCGCTGGTGGTACTCCCTCAAGCCTCCTACAATTCGGGCATTGTGTGTCACAATGTACATGAAAACACGAAGGTGTGGGTGCAATGATTAGAAATAATGAAGACAAATCCGAAGTTCGACAGCGACTACCGACACTATGAACCGGTGCAAACGAGTTGTCTAGTTGTGATTATCCATGATAGCTCAATTCTTTTATTTGTGTTCATTAAAATAATTTCTTAAGTGATTCACGACTTCCGAATAAAAATTAAGAGCTGTTAGGAACAGGAAGAAAACGCAAGCAACATGCTACAAGACTCATGTTGTTATATTCCGAAAAGGCGGTGCTGGTCGACGAGAGTTGTCCATTGTAGAATACAGATTGAAGGTCACTAATTTTGCATGCATAACACGAAAAGCTCATCAGAAACATGCCATCGCAA